TTCGATGTAGTTACTTTTAGGCAAATACAATTTATAGTAATCGTACAACTGTTTATTTCTGTATAAGTTATGTAAATAAAATCAATAATTATAAAATTGGGTAATATATTCGATTTTATTCGGTTTCAACTTGGTACAAATATGGGTAGACCATGAAATACAGACAAGTTATCGTTATTTATGAACTTTGATTACTCACGGTACTCTATGATTGCCTTTTAATATATAATAATTCTTTAATCTTCTGTTAATTTTTATATAATATAATGGGTAGCTAATGATGACAAAAAGATCGTAGCTATCATACTTGCGAATTCTCAGGTTTTTTCTGTCATTTCCTTTTTTACTTTAATCTTTCACATGTTATTGCACATGTAAGGCATTATATAAATTAAACATTTATTTGGATAGAAAAGAAAAATTACGACAGAGGCAAGATTTGAACAGGCACTGCGTTTAAAATGACACGGTACCTGAATTGGTTAGAGCGACAGCACGAAACGCTATGGAATGGATTCAAGCCAAATAGATTCTTAGGCTTTTTACTTACATTTGAGGGCGCTAGAGGCAGAGTAGCCTAACTGCAATTTTTATGACTTGCAGTTATTTATATTTTCATAGTCTAATGTTAACCTACAAGTGCACAGTGACCGAAAATTGTTAACATAATTCTTACAAATAATAGTACAAATTCATTTTCGCCTAAGTTATTTTTTTTTCGCATTTTTATTTTCCTCCTTATTGAAAATCACGTTTTTAATTATTAGCCTCCTATTATTTCCTTTAGCGGCCTCATTTCATAGGAGCTATATGTAACTTCCGCTCATCTTATAAACCTTTTCGGCCTCACAAAAAGCTCGCTGTCCCAAGAAATACTCAAATTAGCTAGTATAAAGTTCATTCACCTACACTTTTGCAATATTGTGAGTTAAATACTAGAATATCTCGCGAAGCAAGTGAGTGAGCCCTAATTAGAGGGGTTAACAGAACTAGTTACGTTTACACGTCTTTTAAAAAGCTCGTTGAAATAGGGTTGGTATGGTTCTAGGTATAGCTGTTCTTTGGCGGTCTTAATATAAAATAAATGATCACTACACAGTTAAATTTAAACCTATTTACAATTACTTCCAACTTAACTCTACCGCTGACTATATGACGTAATTTCGATTAAATATCGATTTTTGAATTATTATGTGAATAAATCGATATTATATAATATCGATTTTTGAATCGATATAAAAATAATATTAACGTTTTCAAATGAGTTCGATTGTTCAACCATTCTCGTCAATGCCCTTACTAAAAAACCCAAAAAACAGCCGTTTAACTGAAACGTTTGTTTTTAATGAAACACTTTTTCGGTTTAAAACGCGAAATTTATTACAACTACGGGTTGACTTGTCGGATGCTTTACAGGCACCGTGGTAACTGGGAGACTAAAGATAGGTGTCACTAATGTCAAAGTAGTTTTCAAATAACGAATCAACATTTTGCCCCCGTTGTTTTGTTGAGTGTATGACGAAGAAGTTGATAGTTTTAAATAAGTTTGTTTATCTTTGATAATATTTTTATTACTAACTTTTGGATTTATTTTAAGAAATAGATAGTGGCAACCCTATTCAACTCGTCGAGAGTGTAAACATTTCATAAAGTGTCATTTGTTTCAAAACAGTTCGCGTCGACTCGGATATCAACAGTAAATCCGTCGCTATTAGCCGACTGACTTTTTGTGGCGTACTATTAATAGTGGACGGTTTGTGTCAATAGGCGGGGTGTAGTTCCTGTTAACAGCTTGAAATATATAACTGATTTAAATAATATTCAAGCTATTTTGAAACCTTAGAACACTGTTTTAGCTGTCTAAACGACCGCCTCCGTTTAATACGTAATTTTGCGGACAGACTATGGATTCAAATACTGTCAATTAATAAGGAAATTTGGGAAAAAAACAAACTGTGTTTTTCGCGGGTTTTACACATTAAAATAAAACACTTCAACGGTTTACGTGTAACCGGGAGAACAAAGTACTGCAAAACAACCACAATGTCGGGCCGTAGTTGAAAATAATTTGTAAATAAGTTCAACTTATATATATCGCGTTTTAAACCAATGAAGTGTTTTATTTAAATAATTTAGTACTTAATGATCTTAGCGGGTTGTAAAGTTCTGTTTTTCTGGTACACACGTTTTAATATTGAAAATAGTATGTAGTCAATATATTTTCGTACCCTGTAATAACTATGATTATGCTATATTTATTTCTTTGTATTGGTCTTGCTCTATATTAATGTCGTATTCGCTGCGTATAGCGTAGTATGTAAAAGGTATTGGTCAGTACATCTCTTCTTGTCAAATCCGTCGTTTTAATTATTAAATAAAAAAATAAGGTCTTCTATTTATTAAATTATTATAATGCACAGATTATTGTAGAATTGACAAACAGCCACCCCCCATGACCAGCTGTCATTCGCAATTCGGGCAAATTTGCGGAAGAGCGTAAATCCAAATAATTTGATGTATGAATAGAGTTAATTACGACATTTATTTATTGTATCCGTTTCATTGCAGCGCACCCCAGTTTTTATTAGCTAAGCCCCGAAACTTTTTGTTGGGGTGGGGGATGCTGATTTACGCCCCCCGTCCCTTTCTTGAGCGGACGTGGACAAAATATTGACTCACAGAAGAGGTTCAATTGTAAACATTTCGCTTTACAGTAGGCAATTTAATAGGGAAACAAGAAGTAAATAAGCAAAGTCGATGTGTCTATTATAGTCAAGATTTGTAGTATTTGCGCATACACAGTCAATATCGGCTGAATAATTCGGTTATACTTTTTTATTTGATAACGAGTATATTTAAGCAATATATTTAGGTAGATATCATTAAAACAACAGTGTTAATCCAAAAGTTACATCAGCGTTAGTCTAAATAAGTAATTTATGAAATCTTTGAAAATCTCACGACGTGTCTCTTCTCTTCTCTTAATCTCTTGACCGGCGCGAACCTGTTTGTAGTTTGTACTTGTTTACGCGCGGTTCAATCTAATTCCCATGAATTAGATTAGAAAGAGTTACTCGGCCGAGTACCTACTCGGTTGAAAAAATATTTCAGCCGAGTAAAACTCGGAACTCGTTACTCAGCAAAAGTGTTACTTGGCGCATTTCTAGTATAAATTAGAGAAATTACAATAAAACTATACACTCGTTGAACCCAGAAATCATAGACAATTAACTATATAATATAGACATCGCAGAGTATGTATGTAATATAAGCACAGATCAATTATGGAAGGCGCAAATGAATTGTCGATTTAACAAAAACGATTAGGTATTCAATATGTCTCTTTAAAAGAAACGTTGCTATAATTTTGTCTGGCACGTATAGAAAATTACAATACAATGTTAAGCAATGCAAAAATAATATCACAATTTTTATTATACTTTACAGACATCACATGTATTAAGGGACAAGAGAACTGACAGAACACAAAAATATAATCGTACGCACACGTTTAGTAATTAAGTATAACATAATACAATAGTAATTAGAAACAAACACCTATAATCTATAGTAATGTATAAAGCTGAAGAGTTTGTTTGTTTATTTGAATGCGCTAATCTCAAAAACTACGTACGAATTGAAAAATTATTTCCTGTTGGTTAGAACATTTATCAAGGAAGGTTCTGGGCTATAAAACATTGCGCTGTGACTAATGCGAGCGTGAGAAATGTGGAAAAAACGAGGAAATTATTCCTCTCTCTGGGTTTCTGGTGCGTGCGAAAACGGTTCAAGATACCCATAAAATAATGATTCCTTAGCAAATGATGTACAAAACCGTCCGTGACACTATATGTCCGACGTCGAGACTTAAATTTATAAAGATGAAAAGGAGGTTTGCAAAAACTAATTTGGACGGCCAAATTTACTATTTTACATGGACAAAGTCGCTGACACAGCTAGTGTATCCTAAAAGTCTCTTTCGAAGTTGTAGTGCCCTATAATGCAATCTCACTGGCTCGGCAACTCACTGTGTGCGCAGGCGACACGTCCGCTCTCGCCCCTTGGCTCTCGCTGCAATGACCGCGCACCCCGCCACACAGTAGGCACGAGACAGTGTCATACGTACTAAGGACTATAGGTTCTACTCAAACACTACATCTCTTCCTTATCAAAAACTTTAATCATTTGATTGAATTGACCTTGATTACTCTTAATAGTATATAAATTAACAATTTACTGTAACTTACTGTTTTTTTTTTATTTCTACTGTTGTTTGTCTCGCCTCGCCTTCTACTCTCTTTAAAGGTAATATGTTTCTCCTCACGGTCTGTCCAGTTTCTTCATTGCTGACGGTAATATCTCCATTGTTTGCTGTCTCAACTATGTGTGGTGCTGGGTTATAATTTGGGGCAAGCTTGTGACATTTGTTATACACAAACTCTGTCTCCTCCGATCAAATCCACATTCTGTGCCTTTCTTCTTTTGTCTCCGTGTTCTTTTCCCCTCTCTTTTTGTTCTTAGAACAGAACAGAACTAGAGACAAAAATATGTCTCTAGTTCTGTCTTTTGTAAAACAATTTTGTTGGTGTTTTCCCTGTTACAGAGTGAGGTGTTGAATTATACATCATGAGGTAGTCATTCAAGCTATCTTGTAAATCTTTTTTTCTCAATATTGCCAATATTCAGTCTTTTTAATATGTCTCTGTTTTGTTTCTCTACTTCGCCATTTTGTTGAGGCCAGTAGGCACTGTACTAAAAAGTTTCATATTACATTCGTTGCAAAAATCTTTAAATTTCGCACTCACAAACTGTTGTCCGTTATCTGCCGTTATTGATGATGATAACCTAGGCTGCCAAATATTTCTTTCAATAGCTTGGTTATTACAACTAGTAATGGTCCTCGTTATCTTCACTTCCTTGTGACGGGTATAATAATCTACTACGACTAATAAATAATCATTTCTGGGTAATGGCCCTAGTAAATCCATTGCTATATCCACTCAAGGTGCATCTAGGAGTTCCCAACGTTGATTTGGTAATTCTACTAAAGTACAGCCCTTACAACTCTTTACCGGGCATCCAGAATCCTTGTCTATCTTTGGCCACCATTCTTTGGTCCGTAACCGTCTTTTCATGCCGACAATCCCAGGGTGACCTTCGTGTGCTGCGTCTAGAACTCTTTTCCGAAGTATGGATATATAACTATTCTATTTCCTTTTAGGAGTATATCACCGGAAAAGTACAATTAATTTTCGAAGATCTTATATCCTATGACATTATCTTCTCAGTTCTTGTCGTAGATACCTTACTTTACTTTACGTATTTCCGAATCTTGCTCTGAATGCATTTTAATTTTGGCCATAGAAATCGCGCATGGTTTAGCATTTTCTACAATCTGGTTGACATGTTCGTCGTCACTGGTCTTTTTGCAATCTGAGATTATGCACAGTCGTGATAATGGATCTGCGATGTTCATATTTCCGGGCTTGTATATGATGTTACACCAATACGCCTGTAAACGTAGTACCGACCTCTATTCTAGCACAACGTTTTGACCTCACTGCAAACAAAACCCCAAAAGGGTGTATGATCAGTGATTAAATCGAACTTCTTGCCGAATAGAAATATATTAAAATGCTTTATAGCCCAGACCAAAACCAAAGCCTCTTTTTCAGTTTGGCTGTATCTACGCTCGCATTCAGTTAATGTGCGATTCCCAAAAGTAATAATTCGGGGTCTTTTGGCATCAATTTGAACCAAAACTGCGCCTAATCCGACAGGGCTGGCATCAGCAATATAATAATATATAATAATAATAAACTGGGTTTTGTCGTTTATATCGTAGTCCAAGGTTTTCAATTTTGGTCAGAGATTTTTTGTTTTTAAGTTCTCAAAAGCCTGATTCTGTTCTTGGGTCCATAACTCCTCGATAGCATTTTTGCCAAATTTCTTCCTAAGTAATTGTTTTAATGGCTCTGTCGTCGTTGTTAAGAAGCCCAAAAAGCTTTGCAACATTTCTTTTTTAAAGCTTTTGTTGTGCAATGCATGTTTTGTCAGTGACTAGGTTATATTTAGATCCGGAATCAATCAACATTTTAGTTTATTATACCCACATCACGTTCTATATTTGCATCATTATTGATATTAAAAACATAATCGACTTCATTATCTGTTATGTTTTCAACTTTACCTTGATTCTAGGCTGGGATATTTACTAGGTTTTTCCATCGGTTCCTATCAGTTCCTTCCAATTTTCTTTTTCTCAATACCTGTCTTGTAATACTGCTTGCCTATTTTTCCACATGCATAGCATACTTTGCCTAACGCCGGACAGTTTTATAACATGACAAGTGTCTCGAATTTCCACATCTGTCACACCCTTTATTTGAATTTGACCTGGACCTACTCCTGCTAAATCTTCCTTTATTTCTCGAAGACTCCGCTGCATGCACCTCTGTTCATTTATTTAGCTGACCATATTCTTCCAATTGACGTTTTACAACTTCTAGAGTATTAGCCTCTGTGATTATCTTGTCTAATGTTACACTATCTCGTATTGTAAAAATTTTCTTTCGCAAATCAACAGAGAGGCACTTCTCTATTATTTGATCGATTAGGTGATCGTCCGGTTTATCAAATTGGCATTTTTCAGCTTGATTCCGCAGCCTTACTAAGAACTTTTCGAATATTTCACCTTCGTCTTGTCTTATTAAACGATACAAATGTCTTTCATAAATTTTGCTTTGCTTTAGAGTGAAATAATCGTCGAGTCTCTGAATAGCTATGTCAAAAACATTATTATCACCAGAGGGTGTAGCATTGGCACCCGGGAAACTATAGAAAATTTCTTGAAGGCCCGATCCACCAAGAAGTAGAAGTGTCGCCCTTTTTTCATCGGTGTTGTTATATCTGTAGCCTCTTAGTATATATTTAATGAACGTTTCCACTTTTTCCAAATGGCCTAATGACTATCTCCCTCCAAATCCAACTTTTCCAATGTAGGTAGATTTGTCATGAGCTGAAAGGCGCGACATGAAAATAATAAAACCTTTCGCGATTTTGTTTGTAAATTTCCAATTTAATGGTGGTACTTCTATGCCAGATGCCTAATTTAATGGAGGTATAAACTACCATGTATTTCCAATTTAATGGTGGTACTTATGTGCCAGATTCCCAATTTAATGGAGGTATAAACTACCATGTTTTCCAATTTAATGGTGGTACTTATGTGCCAGATTCCCAATTTAATGGAGGTATAAACTACCATGTTTTCCAATTTAATGGTGGTACTTATGTGCCAGATTCCCAATTAAATGGAGGTATAAACTACCATGTATTTCCAATTTAATGGTGGTACTTACGTGCCAGATTCCCAATTTAGTGGAGCTATAAACTACCATGTTTTCCAATTTAATGGAGGTATAAACTACCATGTTTTCCAATTTAATGGTGGTATTTTATACCATTGACTCCCAATTTAATGGAGGTGTAATTAACCACAAATTTCCAATTGAATGGAGGTATTTTATACCATTGATTTCCAATTTAATGGAGGTATCAGTGTACCACTTATTTCCAATTGAATGGGGGGTATCATTGTACCATTTTTTTTCGAGTTAACTAGCTATACATGAGTATGCACAAAACTATAGAAGTGGGCGATGTAACATTTTACACTAGTAGATTTATATAAAAACGTCTGCAATTCCATTTTAAGTTGATATAGTGGGTACTTATATACGCCAAAATATATAACAATATACCAAAATAAAATTAAACAAATAAACTCCTACAAATTATTTAAACAAAGAATAAAAGAACATATTTTAGTATATGTTCTTTTATGCAAATTAAATTAATTATAATTAACAAGTAAATTGTGCACATAGATACAACCTACAACAAATAAAAAATATATCTAAAGCAAAAACAGAAAATACTATAAGTAAATCAAATTCATGAAACTATAAAACTAGATGTTTCTGTCTAAAAATAATACAGAAAAATAATAAACTTAATGTGATGTGCGAATGCATCATCTGGTATCGCTTATCTTTGTATGTTTACTCGATCAGCTGCGTTCGCGCCGACGACGTCAAAGCTAGATAATAATACCAAGACATACTGTTCAACTACCTCCTTCTTATAGTTGTGTTAAATAACAATACTGTCCAAATTTCAATGTAATATTTAGTTAACCTAGTAATGAGTGAATGTGTACATTTTTTAATAAATGTCTAAAACCACTTGTAACATTTTAGAGGGTACGTAATTAATATAACTTAAGGTATAATTGTAATAAACATAAATAGTAACTATATTGTATACCGACCCATAGACTTTGCTTTCCACGCCATCATCCGCAAGCGTGTAGCTTCCCTCATGTATCGAGTTCGACAAAGCACCATAAGCATTCTGGAGGCATTGTGTGAAAAGTATACGGTGCTGCTAAAACGATGGAGTGACGTCCATGCTCCCCCTTAGCGCCTAGCACCTATTCTATGTATTCTGTCTACTTAATTTTAGTGACTAACACATTCTAATATACATTTTAAGTTATAATTGTTACTAACCCAACTAACGCACATTAGAATTAATTAAATTAATGTATGGATTTATGGTCCGACAAATAAATTATTATTATTATAGAAACACAATAAAAACTTTTATCGGGTCCGCACTTACATTGAATAATAATTATGAACATCTGCACCCGCACTATGTTGTTTAGAAGTTGCAGCGAACCGGCGGGTAGTTATTTATTCGGAGTCTAAAACTAAAATTTGTAACAACCTGTTTGCGACACCAGCGATAAGGACACTATTATGCCAATATAGGCAGTAGCTACTTAAATTCGACAACTATAAACAACAATGAGCGATATTAACATAGTTTTAATAAAACGAGTCACGAATGAAATAAACAAATGCACTTGTACTCTTGAGCGGTTGTAATTGCCTGTAGGTAATTTCACAATGGTTTGAGTGTTCATGATTTTATCATTATTATTTCTTTTTTTTAGTACATTGACCCCTTTTATTTTATTTCAATTTGAATTATATAAATTAAATAGTCTGACCTTTGTCCTCGTCGCCACTTGTAGTGCCCTATAATGCAATCTCACTGGCTCGGCAACTCACTGTGTGCGCAGGCGACACGTCCGCTCTCGCCCCTTGGCTCTCGCTGCAATGACCGCGCACCCCGCCACACAGTAGGCACGAGACAGTGTCATACGTACTAAGGACTATAGGTTCTACTCAAACACTACAGAAGTGAAAGTGGAAATTTTGAAATTAAAAAAAATAAACTATTCACTGTCAGATAACGCTAGGCTTCAAAACTTTAAATGGCGTGAAAGTTCTCAAAACTCTAGTAATTAATATAGTTAATTTAATTCACACCTTAAAGTACAGCATTAATCTCAAAATAAATAGGATGAGTTAAGGCGGAGCGCTCCGTAATTTGCTTGACGGAGCCCGTTTATCAAGGCATTAATTTTATTTAATAAATCAGTTTGGCGGAACGCCATTAGTCAAACTGGGATTGCTTGGAGCAATATGGCGGGAGACGCGACGATGATGGATGATGGAACTGTCGTTTAAGTGATGTTAGATTAGCCATACTAATTGAATGAATAGGTAAATTGTTTTTCTAGAAAAAACTCGCACAAGTAACTGTTTGCGACGTATCTGACGTATCTAATGTATAATATAAATTATATATAAAAGTATGCTTGTGTGTCCATCTCTAGCATAAAAAAAGTTACACTTGCTGACACACATTTCCAGGTCCTTTTCACTGGTTGATTTGTAAGTCTAGTAGTAGACCCAAGCACCCCTCGAGGGCGTAACGCTAGTAATTTGTCGAATACAGTATTTAAAATGTCTTTAAATAAGGCGCAGGAGCATATTGAACACAATTACCTATAAACTATACATCATTTGTGTAATGAACCGTAAAAACGACATCCTTACATAAATCCTTTTACACCGTGTCGTTGCCGTATGGTAATTAAATTAAAATGGCAGGATTTATTCCACACGCTGTGGTAATTAATTGGAACGATACGATATAGATTAGATATAGGTACACTTATTCTACTCGCTATTAATATTCGGTACTTTCTGTTGGTACTCGGTACTATACTGACTTTGTCGTTACTCTCAGTTTTATTTTTATTGGAACAGATTTATATGTATTGTAGTAAATTACTACAGTAATACAGTATATAATGTTTAGAATAAATTTATTAGGCACTTTTGGAGATTAGATACTAAACTTAGTCTGTTTAACTATTTTTGTATTAGTTTTTTTAAGTTTGAACAATAATTATAATCCTTACATTTCTTAGGGTGAACTATATATTTTTTATGGTCTTGCGACGGCAGCTTTAAGCCAACTATAGTTAAAGACATTACATCTATTTCTTTAAATAGGTAGGTCATCTGTGGTTAAAAGCCATGAAAGTTAGCTCTC